AAGTTTCACCTAAATAGTTTGCATTTTAGAATGTCAAGAGATAAACATATTTCTCTCTTTCTCAAGCAGCCTCCCTCAACTTAATTTCTCATCAAGGAGTTAAGCCTATCCTAATTTATGATAAATACCTGTCATTTTATAATGCTTATGGTTTCTGAAGCACATATGCATACCTCCTTTTAACCGTTCCTAAGGGCAGATATCATCTTCTCTTTCCAATTAAAGAATTAGTGTTTCAGAGAACTCAAGCGACATTCCAATGACCCCTCAGCTAACAAATAAAGAAACCCCAATTCAAATTCAGATCTGACTGAAGTCCAAATCCTTGGCCATTCAGTATACACCATTCTTTATCTTCAATAATCTTTATTCATATAAATATTTAATATTTCTATTTTCTTTCCTAGTTTTCCGGTTCATATTCCTGTTGCAAATCCCCGAACTTCACTAGAACATTATCACTGTAAACTTTCCCTAACATGGCAATGGCCCAAATGACTCTTAGTGACATTTGTGGCAAATCAGTTGTACTGACAGTCCCAATGCTTCACCCCTCCCTGCACCTACACCCCTTGCCATGTAATTTTGTACTACTTTCCACTCTAACTCGGTGTGGCCAAAGGACATTACCAAAAAATGACTCAAGCAGAAGCTTAAAAAGCACTTGCTTAAGTCTGCTTTTCTCCTACTCCTCTGCCATGATCATGAGTACCTGCCAGGGCCAGTCTATTACAGTGTTAGACACATGGCATAGAGCTGAGTGGGCCCAGTTGGCCTAACCAATGCCATTCTGGATCAGACAATAGCCAGCTGACATAGAGCTGATTGAGCCAACCTTCAGCTAACCAGTAGCATAAGTTATCCCAGCCAAGATCAACCAATCCAAGTCCAGATCAGCTGAATCCCACAAACCCATATTTTGTATGCCACTGAAGTTTGTGTTATTTGTTACATAGCACTATTGAAGCAATAGTCAACTGGTACATGGATATTATGTAATCCATTTAAAATCAAAATGGCAGAATAATTTTGATTCATGATTACCTTATCTGGTCAGCAGTTTGCTCAAAATCCTACAGATAATCCTATATACAAACCCCTGTTCTTAGCTTTTGCCACACATATTAATAGCCCACACTCTACTGCCACTACACAAAACTTCATTCGTACTGTAAAATCTTCCATCAAACATATTGTCTGGCTATTATAATTATTTAATTTCTACTTATTCTTTAAAAACAAAGCAAAGAAACAAAAAACAGGGCCCCTGCTAGCTCATCTGTCTCCTATATGCAAAGTAGGGACCCTAAGCCTAGCCTGGGAAGTAGAGCATAGGCTGAATTTCAGTCCCACCCAGATATCCAGATATTCCTATTTTGAGTTTATTGCTCTTTCTACATAAAAATGCAAATATGTGTATGTGTATATATATTCCTGTTTTTACCTCAAATCTCGCACTGTTGCCTGGTGATCTGGTTTTCCAGAGGGTTATGGATGATTGAGATGGCTTCCTGTTCTCAAGAAGTTTATACTTTACTTTAGGTTGTGAAACAGAAGCATATACAGACAATTTAATTATAATATGATAAATGATAAGGGTAAAAAATACAGAAGAAATGTATTTGGGGTCCAGAATATGCTTCCTGGAAGAGAAAAATTCTTGGCTAGGATGAGAAATTAGCTAGATAAAGACATTATAAGCAGAAAGATGAGTATACAACAAAGGAAAAAGACTGGAATAGCAAGGAGTTTGTTGGGACACTGCAAACAGTGCGGTATTACTCAAACATACAATGTGACATCTTTATAAAAATAGAAATGTTAGGAAATGGAGCAAAGAAGAAGTTCAGGGTCGGGTGACAAAGGAACAGAAAGGTAGAGAGATTTGGTAGTTATTTAAGAGGTAAAAACAATATGGCCCACTGAAAATGGAATCCAAAGGTGAGGGAGAAAGTATCATCTATAGAGATTCTCAGATGTGTAGGTAAGAAGTTAGAGCAGACTTTGGTGGTGAGTTGGAGACTGATGATGATTGAGTTTGGAATAGGTTGAATATGAGGTTCTGAGGAACACAAAAATGGACCTGTGCATTAAAAAGGTAGATAACTGAGTGTATAGCTTAAAAACATCAAGCCTGGAGATGTTTCCATCTCTCCTGGAATAACAGGAGAAAAAATGACTAAAGTAAAGCTCCAAATAGCCAATATCTAAAAGCATTTTATAGGCAATTTAAAACATCTATGTCATAAAGTTTGTCTATGCTTCCAATTCAATCCTATGTTTGTTAAAATAATTTTTATTTTTATGTTAGTGTAGTGGTTTTCAATTTTACGTGATTTATTTCTGCTTTAAAACTCACATTTATGGTAGTAATCTTCTCCTTTTAGCTAAGTGTCAAATGCGATGCCATCATACAGTGCAGGTACATTGCTTACAAAATATTGAAAAAGATTCAAAGATACCACTTAATGAAGAATACTCCTCTATTACTTGCAAAAAACACGTAGTCCTAAAGGTACAGATTAGATTATTAAATACTTGCTTTAAAAAAATGACAGGATCACCACTGTCTTTAAGGACCTTTGGATTTCTATGGGTACTCACATAGTTATAATAGTAATATACAAGTTAATATAAAAAGATGTCAAAATATTTGTAAAACAGATCGGAACTATAGTGATTTAAATGTACAGGCTCATAATCTCTATAATTCCAGAACCCATTCACTCTGAAAATTTTATTTTATTTGTAAATGGGTACCAAATATGATGGGTCCAAAACAAGACCTGTACTATCATGAGACTATTTATAGTCTATATTTTCCACGCAGTAGAAATATTCAGAGGACCCTCTTCTAAACATGTACATGCAATTATGGGATGCTGCCCATAATCCTTCTGGAGGAGTGTTCCATAATATGCATCATATACACACAGAAAATGAGCAAAATTCTGAACTCCAAAACACAACTGGCTAAAATATAACCAGAGTATTTAGATAAGAGGTTATGCAGTATAATTAAAAGTTAAAATTTAAAATTTTATATGACATCACAATCTAAATTCTCAGTACAATTCAGTTACTAGAATTAAAACATTTTCATTCTTGTATCCTTTATCTGAGAAGAGATTTATCTGCACAGTATAGTTATTTCTGAAAATATTTTCTAGTTTTCCCCCTTTTTTCCCAAGGTATCTTATTCTAGTACATTATTTTCACAACATCCTTATGAAATAGTAACCTAGTTTTTTAAAGAAGAAGAAAACATTTAAAATTCAGATTATTTTCAGAATAATTTTGATAAGGTTAGGATTTAAATTGAAAATACCAGACTTGAATAAAATATAGAAAGACAAATTTAGGTGGGATACATGCAGAATCTTAACAGGTATGATCAAAGAGTCAACTTCCCAAAAAGAGTGTGGGGAAAATGAGAACATAATGTAGCGTTTATGCAACTCAATTAGAAACTTTAGTTTACTGCTGTCCCAGTATATATTGAAAGTATGTTGAACCTGTCCCCAAATGCAATACAATCTTAGTCTTCTTTAATGAAACACTGTATCCAGAAAAAAAAAAAAATTACTGCCCTATTTTATGCTTGTCACAGGAGATGAAAAATAGTGTAACCAGTTCTGGGACCGTGCTTTAACAACAGAATTAACCAATTTAAATAATTCTAGAGGAAAGTGAGCATACGGTGATAGTTCTAGAGGTTGCCTTATGGAGAGCAATTGCAAAGACTTAAACATCTACCTTAAAACGTAATTCTTGGTGAAGATACGATAGATGCCCTTTGAAATGAGTCAACACATTTTGTGTGATTAAACAAATCATCATAGCAACAAGTTAGAGTTATTGGAAACATTATTTCATCTCAACACCAGACAAACTGACTGAAAATGCAATGGACTGGTACAGAAGTTATTCATATAGGATTAAGGGATTACCTAATGAGGATGTAACAGAGGGTTCTCAGTGATTCGTTCCATTCTGAGAGTCATAAATGTCTCTGTGAGTTAATATTATAGCTAGGTTTAGAATTTTATCAACTTTGATTATATAGTTTTTAGTATTTATGAAAATATATTTGCTACAAGCCATAACTTTATGAAGAGAATTCAACTCTTAAACATGTGCTATACTATCTTTTAAGTAGAGGGCCAATCAACCTATTTAAAAGAAAAGTGTGGTTTATTGGGGGTGATTATTAAAAATCTTATTCATACATTAGGGTTTTTCTCACACCTCAAAGAAGCACAATTACGCTATTCTTAAGTAAACTCACTCTCAGATTACTTTGTATATATATAGGCTGGCAATCCTTAGAATTTTCCAGTTTTTTCTATAAAATGAGAAAATTGACAGAAATGTATTTAAAAATAACTAACAATTTTATGTTTGAGAAGATAACGCTGAACTTTTGCATCTTCCCAATTTTCCAAAATACTTAAAACATTTTAAAAAAACCCAGTTGAAGTATTTTTTGAAGGGAGAGGTTGATATATCAATAATTCCAAGAATTTTTAAGCAGACATTAGCCAGTAGGCTTAGACAGTAGACTTCCAAGCTCCTATCATTTCCAAAGACAGACTAAACAACTGAAAATAGAAAATAGATATTTCCAAGTGTCATGATTTTGTTTAAAAGTAAGGAAAGATTAACTATCCCTACACTCTGGTGATTAAAAGCTGATCAACAAGTGGTTTTCTACTCCCGCCAAAATATACAGATAAACTTTTAAGAAAGAGACCAGATAGGAACTTACACTTCACACACACACAATCATGCCCACCAGCAATATATTAATATATAATTTTGCTTGAGGCAAGGTTTCATGTGAACTGCCTTTTTATTCTTCAATTTTTCTCACCAAAACATGCCTATCAGATATGTTAACTGGAAAAACAATTTTAAGAATGGAAATAATGTGAATCTTATTTAAATATTATCACATTTTCAATTACAATAGAAAGGATAAATGCTACCCAAAAGCATACCTGAGGCAGGGCTGAATTGAGCTGTCTCTGGAGTGAATCTCTGTCATAGATGACATCCTGAAGTCTTTGCTGGGCAAGTGAGAGGCTTTCCTGGGTCTCCCGAAGGGTGTCTAGAAGACGATCCCTTTCATCAAGCATATTCACCATCAGTTGCTCAAAATGGGAGTCTGAGTCCGAGCCACTGCTTTGGGACCCCCTTTGGCTCATTGGGGTGTCCTCGTTAATCGTGGGCATCACTTCACACATCATTGCTTAAATAGAAAAAATGGGGAGGAGGAGTCTTAGTAAAGAAATGATCTCCAATAAATGCCACCTGGCCATCAACTCACTCATTAGCCTAATTGTCCATATTTTTTTCCCTACCCACTGCCCCAACTCCAATCAAGCTAAATGTTTTGACCTTAATGAAAGATGATCCATTCACTTCTATAACCTACATGCTTTCTCTTTTCATGACAATCCACATTTCTCCCACCTACAAAAGGAATGCAACTTGGTTTCACCTGCTTCTCAAAGTTTTTTTAAAAGCCCATCTAATTCATTTCACGTGTTATTTCAATTATTATTTCCTAAGCTTTTTTCCCTGAAAGTTTACAAATCTCTTACAACTAATACTCTATGTCACCCTCATTTGTAATAACTGCACTGTTAATGGCAAGCACAGTGTCTGGCACTTAATGGTAGGAAGTATCTTTTTTTAATGAATTAGGGAATTGAATGAATTGATATTTACACTTTCATTTAGAAAATAATTGAGTATTCATTTTATATAATAATTAGCTTTTACTTTCTTATTTTATCAACAGATTTTTTTTCACACCAACTAGTTTAAAGCTTTTTG